AAAAAAAAGAAAAATACTCATCTTTTCAAAAAATTATCCCTAAAAAAATAACACTTGTTGCTCGATTCTATCTCTCGCTCCCTTCAAACCCTTTTCTCCTTCCTCCTTTCCTCCAATTCAAATAGAAGCAATTTTTCCAGACGATATTAATTTTTAATAACGCTCCGCACTGTCATGGCCAGGCTCAAGGTGGCGCAAAATCCGTCTGCTCGTTTCAAACGCATACCGTTTACACGGACCAGGGTTCACGATTCCATGAAACTTAAATTTCTCCTTCGAAACGGGGCAAGAGTTGCTCATATCTCAACGAGTGAAATTCCTAAAGCAGATACACACATACATACAGATACACTCTCTGTTTTACCTCTCGTTCCCTTTTCGTGCCATTTCGCACCCTCTTCCCTACGATTCCTCACCCCTTTTCCTAGGGGCGGATCGGCTTATGGCTGCTTCATGGTGGAATTACCGACATGAACCCGCGCCACGGGGAGAATTTCTCTCTGACGATGGGGGAGGGAACGGTGTTGGCGAAGGGGCTCTTTGAAGAGAGCCGATTATTTAAAACGGAAGTGAAAATTAATATCAGTATTTATTACTTTTTCCTTGTTTTCACTAAAATCGAAAAGGCAGAGGAAAATGATAGAAAACGCGATATTTATATTCTAAATTATTATGCTTCCAAACATTCGTCAGAACGTTCGAAAACCCGATATATGTCCTCGCGCAAAAATTAATAAAGCAACGAACAGCTCAAGTCCGTGGAATCCAAAAGAAGGCAAGATTCTCTCGAGTGGGAAGGGCAGAATTTTCGCGTTTTAAATCCTCTGCCACCCCCGCATATTGCGAGCAATGCCGCGAAATGGCTGCCTGCTCGTTCTCGCCCGCGGGAGAGACAATTCTCTCTCTCTCCCTCTCTGTGTGTGCGCGTGTGTGCGTGTGCTCTTTCCACGCGTTGGGCGGACGGAGAAACGCGAAGAGATGGGCGAGAAGGGGACGGAACGAGAAAGGGGAGTCGGAACGGAAGTGTGCGTTATTGAAATTTCGAAAATCGATAGGTGATGACGCCTCCGGTGCGATCGATGCAGCATCCTGCAGCATACGCTTAAGGGCTTCCATTGGTCGAAGGATTTCTCTCTTTTTTCTTTGTTTGTTTCGAGTTCGAGTTTGCCAACAGTTTTGGGGAATAACGGGAGGTGGAGAGGTTTGTGTGTCGCAGAAAGAGAGATGGATCTTCGAAAATTAAAAAAAATTGAACCCTCTTTGAAAATCTTCTCCCATCAATTTGTTTGCTTCAATATTTACTCACGAAACGATAATGCGACTCTGTCAGTCGGAAATTAGAGTGTAAAAAGTAGGGTCTGATTAATTACTTTACTAAAAAGGGAGGCCTTTCTTGATTTTTAGAAACAGAATAAGAGGAAGGAGAAAAGAAAACGTTCCACCACACCCCACAGCCCCCTTTCCAACTCCTGTATTCAAGAGCTGAAGTCTGTGTGCGCAGGTGTCAAACAAAAATGAGGAAGGGAAAAAAAAAAAAAAAGGTCTGATATCTCACCTCGATCACGTTACTTCCCGACAATTAGAGACAGAAGAGGTATCGCGGGAATTTCCGTTTCGGGGACTCGAAGCGTGGCTTTCTCGCTCGAAGGGGGAGGCAAAAAGGAAAAAGTAAAAAAGAATCCAGTCGAGGTTCGCTCTCGTTGCTTGCTAACGAGAGAGAACCACGCAGGTTTTCCGGCCTACTGGTAATTGAAATTCAACCAACCTTGTTCCACCCTCTTCTCCTCTCCCTTATTTTCTCTCTCTCTCTCTCTCTCTCTCTCTCCCCTTCTTTCGCCACCTGCACAGAATCACCCCACCGCAACTTCCCTCGATTTACCAACATTTAAAATCGATTTTCCTTTCCGATCTCTCATCCCCCCTCCTCCTCCTCGTTTCGTTTACGAATCGAGACGAGGTCACGAGGCACTCGAGGTGCCAATACAAAGACGGCATTACACGCGTGGAAGGGTCGACACCGCCGACCCTTTCGAGCTCGAAAATCCTCGGATTCGTAAGCGGCGGGCTTGAACTCCTCCCAAGAATCGAACCACCACGCGTGGCGGTTTAATCACCCTGCCATTTACCCCATTTTCCCACTCGATCCGTTCCAATCAGCCGCCGAGGGTTTATTGGCTTTTAATTTGATTACAAATGACGGCTCGATCGCTTCACGAATCCACCTTGGCTGCGATTTTCACGCGAATTTCTCTCGAATGGGAGGGGAGTGTTGTTGCGCGGCAGGCGTTGTTCTTTGGTTTTCTTCTTCGCGGTGTCGGGATTATCTTGCGGTGGTGGAATACACGGGGGAATCGACGCCGCTTGTGCACACGGTTGTATTGTATTCGTGGAGGGTTGAGGTAGGTGATGGTTGGTTAAAGCGAGTGAGTGAATTTATACTAAAGAAAGAAGTGGAATAATTGGTGAAATTGAAATATTTGGAGATTTTTTTTTCTTAATTATTAGATTGTTTAATAAAATAGAAGTTTTTTGTAAAGTAACAAATTTAACGAGACACTTTTCATCGCTTGAAGATACATCGAATATAAATATGCATTTAATTAATTGACTTAGTTTAATGAATATTCCATGATAAACTTTGTTTAAAAGTTAAAGATTGTCCACGATACATCATTTTCTACATCCCTTCTTAAGCATCAATTATTTTGATTAAAAACAATGTTGAGCAATAATTTTGAACGAAAACCGCGAAAATTCTTTTACAACGGGGAAAATAGCGGGGGAAAACACGCGCAAAATACGTTGAACGAAAAGGAGAAAGGAGGAGGAGGAGGGGTGCTTTTATGGGATTGCGCGTAGTTAGAATTCTGCCCATCCGCTAATTACGATTTAACCCTTTGCCTCGTCGTTGAGCGGCGATACATCTCTTCACAAAGCTGAAATTTACAATTCCGTTAATGCGACACATTAAACCGGAATCAATTATTCGAGTGATTTTATATTATATTTGATCGTGCCGTTCTTTCATATATATTCCGATTGTTTCTGTGGATTGGTCGGAAAAATAATAATCTGGGTACACGTGCATTGTACATATAATAATATTCCATTTTGATTTTCGAATGCGTTTTCGAATGTGGCGAATTTTTCGTTCGAGAATTATTTCACGAGAGAATATTTTAATTTTCGGTGTATTTTTAATATTTGCGTAGAATTTTACGAACGATGGAATTTTTTTCTTTTTTTCTTTTTTTTTTTTTTTGTCAAATATTTATGTATTCTCGAATACAAATCGATGAGAATTTTTGACAGAACGAACGAGTATTTCGAAAGATATTTTTGAATCTTATTAAATCTTTATCTACAATCAAACTTTTGACAGAGATAAAGAAAAAAAAGAAGATGAAAACGCATATAAAGGATACGACGTTTAAAGCAAGTTTCGTTCGTCACGTCATCCAACTATTCGTATCGATTAACTTTTTCAAAGAGCACTCGTGCACCGATTACCACATCTATCTATCTCGTATCTATCTAAAACCAAAGTCCATGTACAATTTCCTTTCACACGTGTGAAGGAGTTTCAGAAATTCTCTCGATACTGTTGCGCATTTTAACACCAGTGAAATTACAGTTTGATGACTTAAACGTTGCCATCGATTGGCCAATACGAGTCTCCGTTTACACCTGTGCCGGTGTAACCGGCTACCAGGTTATTCGAGACACGTGATTCGCACGCAAGATTGACGGATACCGTTTCAAGAAAAACTTGAAATCTCACTCGAACACGCCTGTTTCCCGATTCTGGTGACACCGTTCAGTAATTGAGACGAAGAGAGAATTTTCGCGTCTTCAAATATCCCTTCAACTTGAACTTTGGTCAAAGTATCCTTTCTAAAATTCGCTGACGAATAAAATCAAAAAATTATTTTTTAAAAAGCGATATCACTCGGAAGAATTTTTCTGACTGAAAAAATTCCAACGCTAACGAACGCTTTCATCGCGCTAATTATCACGGTTACTTGGATTCGCACTTTCTAAATTCCTGTTCCATTTATCTATCTCGTGCACTTGATCTTTCCCGAAAGAAAAGAAAAGAGCGATTCGCGGAATCACACTGTTCCTTCAGAATTTATTAACCATTGCATTATCGAGCTGGTCGTGGATGACCTTCTCTCCAACCGAGGCAGCCTCACCTTTCCCACGATTCGCTTGGAGATTCACGCGCGATTATATCGAATCCTGACCGATTACGTTATCCGGACTTATGCTAATTACGTGTAACGAACTCGACAGCTTTCGAATTTGTGCTCTACTTTACTTTGCATTCGATCCTTCTAAATTGTTATTTTGAGATGAATTCTCGAGTAAGTGGAGAAAATTTTTTAACGACGAGTGATCGAATGCTCGAGCAAAGTTTCAAGTTTTTATTCGAAGGGATAGGATAAATTATTTCTTACTTGGAGAGAAGAGGGGGGAAAAAGTGAGTAGATATTTTTGAACAAACGCAGCACACAGTGTGAGCAAAGTTTATCGATCGGTTTTGCCGCCGATATAAAATTAATAGTAATTATGAAAGTGGAGTTATTCAGGATTTTCTTTATTCAAAAACGTTTAATTATTGTTTTTGCCATAATAACATTTTCAATTGGGATTCTATTTTTCACGTAGTTTGCTTCATAAATGACTGGTGATCAAATTTTCTTCCCCTTTTCATGGTTTATTGAGTGATGATGACGACATAATGTTGTATTTGGTAGGAAGTGATGAATAAATTATCGATTCGTGATGCGATATAAGCTTAATAGAAATTATAATATCGTGCGATCGTTGTGAATTTTCAATCGACTACGTTTGTTTGTTATTTTTGATATATTATATATTCGGGTTTTATCCATTTCTTTTATGAAAAATAATAATAATAATAAATTAAATATAATAAATTTATTATCCAAATTTTTATTGCGAAACAAATACATTTTTTATCTCGTATTCGATACTTTGTATCTCGTCTCTCTACAATCTCGATGTAAGCGTGAAACAAGAGGAGAAAATGAATTTTCACGTACCATTATAAATTAAATTGCGAACGTGAAAACTATCTGATCTACGATATCAAAGAAATATTCATCAATAATTCATGATTATTCGTAACTGTGTCTTAATTTAACCGTCAGAAAGTAGATTTCGTTGCAACCCAGTTAAAACAACGTTTTACAAAGTAAACGAAAACGATCGATCAGGGGTTTATTTATCGCGATATAAATAGTTCGATTAATCACCAGCAATTATACAAATTGGTTAGAGAGACATCGATTTTAACGAAGCGTCATATCGAATTAATACTTTTTCTCCTACAAATCTTTCTTTTTACTCTTACTATTTTTTTTTTATCGTTGCCAAATTTATTCAATTGACCGACAAATTCTCGTATACTTTTTTTAGAACAATAATCTCGATGTACACTTCTTTTATTCGGTATCATTGTAACAAGGAATTGTTAAGAAATACAAAATAAAATTACGATCATTTATTCGTAGAAATAAATGAATAATATAAAAATAATCGAATGATAAACATATTTTTTTTTTTTTAAATACATTGAAACAAGATATATGCTTCGTTGAAATCATACTCTGCTCTGTTTATTAAGAACACTCATCTCTCTAATAACGCGGTTATTATGAAACATCTGGTTACAGTACACCGTCCACTCGAACGGATAAACTAATTTCCACCTTAAACGCCGGAGAAATGTTAATCCAGCCGCTCTCATCAGAAACGCTGATACCTTTAATAACACGCTATCACTGTGAATTTCACAAATTGCCGCCGATTCAATTTACAACGTTTCTTTTCGATCTATCCGTTATTCGCATTTAAAATTACATTAACGCTGAATTTAATTACCGGCTGGAATTTAATAAACGGAACGGTGGCTACGAAAATTGTTTCACGCGCGTACTTTTTCCAAAGGAAAACGTTTACGTAATACCAAGTTCTTGGAAATGTTGGAAAACGTTCGTGTCGAGCGTTCGTTCAGAAAATTATTAAAAATTTATACAACAACGTTGCCATATAATTTAGAAATCGAAATGAACGAAAATAAATAAATTTCAAAAAATCGTGTATTCAATTTTCTTTTATCGACCCTCGAAGAAGGATTGGAGATCATTCTTGGAAGAAAGCTTAGACGGACCTCCACGCATCCCCTATTCGTGTAATTCAACCCCGCACGTTTCGTGCTCCACAAGTGGCCACAAGTGAACAACACCATTCCTGCGCGCTCTTTCCTCCCTTTCCTTTCGTCCCCTATTCAGGATCCAAAGCAGAGCGTTTTGATAAAACATTTTTTCGATTTTAACCCTTTCCCTATAATCGCTCTGCACAAAATGTATACGATTGAAGTTATCTTTCTCTGGAAATGTAGCATGTAGATATTTCGTTTTTATTCGTCGAAGAAACGAAACTCTTTCTCGAGCACATTTTTGGCGCGACGAAAGACTTGCGAAATTGGCAATGCGATGCGATCGAAGCGAGATTTCATAAAATTCAACGCGCTCTTTCTAATATCTCGGAGGGGAATTTCATCCAAACACACGATCCATGGTGAAACGAGGATCAGGTGGCGCTGCATAATGCAGCTAATCGTTATTTCCTTGCCCGCTGACGCGTTACACCATCGCGACAGAGAGGCGTAATCCTCTCGGAATTGTGAAATTCGTATTATAACGTAGGGTAGGGATGGAGGGGGGGATCGTGGAGGATGAATTTACGATTAACGGGAATACGGAATGACAGTCGTTAGCCCTTTGATTAATATTGAATCTGCAGGATATTGTAAATAATTGCGCATAGTCGATTAACGACGCGCTCGAACGTACAAACGCGCGTTCCAAAAACCCGCGACTCGATTATGAATGCTGCAGGCTACGCTGTGAAACACTCTCTCTCTCTCACTCTTTCTCTCTCTCGTCGGTGCTCGCAGTTAACTGCGATGGAACCGAACCGGTTGACCCGCGGCGGCCATCCTATCGTTCATTGTGCGAAATAATGCTCGATTTTCCACGATTAATCGCTTTGATCGAATTTCGAAAATTCTTGGATCGATATTTTGGATTCGAGCATACGTTCAAGTATCGGTTCGATCAATTTTGCGCGTAAACGGAGGAAAACTTCTTATACTTTTTAAAATTCTCTTTCCAAAATCCCGACAATTCTTCTCGTTAAAATCCTTGGAAAACCTTCAACCACCCCGCGCACGAGAAAATCCAAAATTCCCAGAAACCTTGGAGCACTCTTCCTCCTCCGTCGGTTAGATATCAACGAGTCAAAGAGGAAGACGGAAAGGAAGGGAGCCTCGCGAAGAGAAACGAGGATAAAACCTCGTGTGGCCACCGCGGTTTGATCGTCGAGGGGTGGATTGAAGCGAGGGTGGCCAGGTCGATTCGACACGCGAGAGGAGGGAGAACTCTCTCTCTCTCTCTCTCTCCGTATAATCAACCGGCCAACGTATTTACGGTGGAGAGAGCCATATACTTGGTGCGCCATTCCTCATTCCTGGCACACACACACACGCTTTCGCGCAGGACTATTAAATTTGGAAACTCTATATGCACGCGGCCGAACCTACTGCGTTTTATAAGCGCATCAAAGTTAAATGGCGGGGATGCACACCCCCGCAATTCGCCCCTCTGTGTGGCTTCGAAACGGTGTGCGAGGAGGAGTGGTTTTTAATACCCGCGCGACCCACGTGTGGATCGTTGTAAAGATGAATTTTAGGGGGTTGGAGGGAGGCCTGGCGTAAACATCGAGGGTGAGTTTTATTGAGCCGCGTAACTTTCGTGGGTGCTTCGAGCGTAGCGGTTTTTCGCGCTGGTGGACGAAGATGGATCGTGTTCTCGAGAAATGACACGATTTTTTGTCGCCTTTCGTATTTTTTTTTTTTTGAAATTTCGAAATCGAACTTTCGATCCGATAGTTTGATATTGTATTTGTACACGTTGAATTATTATTATTGCTCGATTTTTTGATTGTACGATTACATCGAAATGCATTGGATTAAAATTATATTTTGGAACAATTCATACTTTATTCATCATTTTTCATAAAATAATTGGATATTTTATTTTTCTCGCGGTTAATATTAATTTTGTGCTTGAAAGTGCGGAAGATAACAACGATGATTGTATATATATCCTTGGGCTCGAAGTTTTTGCGAAAGTTTCGTATCAACAGGTCACGTGGCGATACACAGAGGATTTCGTATCGGGAAGAGCTCACATACGTCCCGACCATCGATCGGGTCGAGTCGTGTCGTTTACGTGATAAACGTGTTCCTGGCTTGTAGTATCGGAAATATTCACTACGCAATTTGTAAACACGTAATTAGTGGTGTGTTGAAACAACGAGTGCAACGTTCTGGTGCAATCTGGCCCACTGGTGCGAATATTAACATCGTTTAAGGTACGCTCCTTTAATTCCAATTAAATTGTCGTTTGACAAATTTTTTCTTACGTTCTAAATCAATTCAATATCTCTTCAACATATCTCTCTCCGAAGAGAATAATCGCAGAAATCTTCAATTCTTTCTATTCTATCAATAAGATAAATTCTAAAGCAGCACAAGAACAAACGGTTGCGCTCTTTCTCAAGGAAAATGGAAATCGGTGAAAAATTGGAAATATATATATATATATAATTCTTCATCCTTTCCCTCGTTCGTGAGAAAAGAGCCTCAGATGTGGCGTATAATAGAAATGGTGGATACGTTTCGAAGAAATTAAATACGAGCCATTACAGGAAACAATGACGCACATGGCGAGATCGTATTTTTGTTTACAATCAATGTTAAGAACTCTGGAGTTCTCCGCCCCACGTGTTTCCCGGCACAACTATTCGCGCTACACTTTCACCGCGATCGATATTATGTATAAACGTGTCGCAATAAAAGATCGTGTAATTCGTCTCGTTTCTAAGCTTTGTCGCCGCGGGTTTGCATTACGAGCGTTTCAAATTTGCCGCCTCTTTTATACCCTTTAATATAATACTTCGTTAATAGTGTGAATGTTGTCGCAAACGTACGATCGAATAATAAATAATCTTGTAACCGTGCGTCGTTCAAGTGAATTTTTCAAGGAAATTTATCACGGTATTTTTTTTTATAAAAGTTATATCATACACCATTTTCAATAAATTGGAAAGAGTGGGATAGAAAATATTCTTCTTTCTAATATTCGATGAATTGTTCTAAATAACAAAGAGCGTCTAACTTTATTTTTATTATTATTAGTTGTCGAATAAAAACTGGAGGAATAATAAGGATTCGTTGCAACAAGTCTTTGCACGCGAACGGGTTTTGCGATTGGGGACGATGCATTATATCGGTTATAGAACGTGTTAGCACGTGCAGAATATTGGATAATGTAACACGAACCATCTCGTGGAAATTAACCGCAATAATCGCGCCGCATTACGTCTAAGGTCTGACTACCATGCACGTGCTCTCTCCATCGATCGATTTATCATTCAGAAAGCCAAATAATTTTTACTTTTATCTCTTCCTTTTTTTTTTTTATATATAAAAATATTTACGAATAAGATGATGGCTACGAATCGTTATATCCGCGAAAAATATTATATTATGTACAAAAAATTTCTGAACGAGTGTTACTTTCAAAAACTTGTCCAAATGTTAGAAATAAACGTGATATTTCTCAACTTCGTACGCATGAAATCACGACAACGAAAAATTATTATTCCAAATTATTATCCATTATTGTTATCTCTCTTAAAATCGATCAAACCTCGTGTTACATCACGATCTTCCATAATCCTTTGCATCATGTACATATATATATATATATTTCTAACCAACGTTGCAAAATCGTAACAAACATGGATATAATGCTTCCTGGAAACAGCATTGCGTAAGAAATGGAATAGCGAGCGACAACTCGTTATTAATCGCAAATAAGCACATGGATGATTATCCCTTGATGAGATCGTTCGAATTAATCGGTCCAATCGACGTGCGCGTCCAACTATCGTCCAAGAATTTATATTCGGACGACACGAAATGTTAAACTATAAACTGGGCCCCAATAATTAGAGAGAAACGTGCATGGACAGGACCTTTCCTCAGCGCTTTTGCACATTTTACACGCGTTTGTATTTCTCTCGATTGAAAAATAATCGATCGCCGAAACTCGTTTTATCTCGCCGAAAAGAGCGAACGTTGGTCTCGAGTTTGGAAAATGTGTCTTCGACGATGAGGAGACGAGACACGACCGTGGTGTTGAAGTTTACTACAGTCTTCTTCTCGTTTCTGGAGGTAAAAATTTGCTCGAAAGAGATTTAAGGGGGATAGCTTCATGGGTAGTCGGAATTTTTTTGACAGAATATTTTCCATAGAAGATTTAAGAAAATTGATAAATTCAATTATTTCTTCCTATAATCATTTATACATTTTATTACATTCTAGGGAACTCTCTCCTTATTCCTCCACCTCAGACATTCTACTCGTCTCCACTACTAAATCTCTCCTTCCAAAAACAAAACTCGCTTCACAAAATTCTTTATTACACCACCCCCTTCTCCTTCCTCACAAAAGAACCTGCGATGGAGGATTTACGCCACGAGGGAGGAGAGAGTTGGAAACGAAGGAAAAAAAACGGAGGTAGCAAAGTATGGTATAACAAAGCCGTGTAATCCCTTCGGCGCTCCACGACCCCGACAGGGCCTCGATGGTGGTGGTAATGCGCGCATTGGGACCGGATACTTTGAGCGCGCAAAACAAACTCGAAACGATGATTAGCCGGGCAAACGTACGCGGTTTACTTAGTGGCCAAGTCGAAATAATAGAATGCGACATTTGTAAACAGGCGGAACGCGCTGTTGCTTTCAGATCACGATTCTGTTTGATAACCGAAATTTCGCCGGTGTAAATTTGACCGAGGGGGGAGGAGGAGGAGGAGGAGAGGAGGACGGCTCCGCGGGGACTTTAAAACTGTCTGCACCAGCCCTACGATCGTTGTTTTCCTACGTGTTTTCCCACGGCTTTGAAGTAAGGAAATTCCGATTGTAGAGGTAGTTCTCGTCTGGGACTGTTTTCTTTTTTTTTTTGAGAGGAGGGGGAAGGAATATTTTCCGTGATTTTTCCCTCTCGTTGGTTTATTTCGGGATGCAATTTTTCTTAGCTCGGGCTTCTCTTTTTTTTTTTTCAATTACAAGAAAATAAAAATTTCTTTCTTGTAATTTCTTTCGTGAAATTTAATTAAAGGTTGGTTCTAGTCAAAAAAGGATCGATGCTATTCCGATCGAATTCCATCTCTGCGAACGTAAACTTCTATTATTTTCTATTATTTTTATCAGTTTCCGTTAATAACACCTAAAGTAATTTGATCTTTGAAAATTTATCTTATTATAAATATACGAATAATACAAATTGTTCCAAGTGAAAAGAATACATTCAAAATAATATTAATAATTTTCAGATAATTCAGATAATAATTTATCACTTTCTTCCGTTTAGGTATAACGATCACGTCCGACGGATCATCGTTCTTCTCGCTGTTTTTTTATTAAGAGAGCCAGTTTTAAATCGAAAGACTATTTTGTAGATCTATCGACAGACATCTGCGCCCCACGATTTCCCAGCGCCTTTCCCAAGCGAAAGGCTTTCATTGGAGATGGGATCTCGTCCCACACCTTGTCCACCAATTGAAATCTTTTAATCGTTTTTGACACCTTCCTCCAAATTTAATTTAAGCATTTCCTCGCTTTATCCAACTTGTCCCATTTCGAAACTTCTTTCTACTTCCCTCTTTTTATTTTCAAAATTCATCGTGATGATTAAAAATTAATAATCGAATCTCTTGATTCTGCGATCGTTTCGATGTTTTTTTCGAATTTTTAAATTTTCGACGTTGCAATTACTTTTTTTTTTCCCCTCCCCACGCCTTTTATCGACGAATCACTTCTGTCTAGACAGAATTCAAAACGTAGATAACTGCATTACATACGCTGTCTGCCTGGCGGGGCGAAAGTCGGTTAATAAGCTAGACGAGAGAATCCCTTAATCGTTGCTTTCTTCGTCAAAGGCGGTATTTTTTTTTCTTTTTTCTTGCGATACAACGTGTCTCTGTCAACGACATTACCGTTCGATACACGAATCGTCGTCCTGTCGTTCATGTCGAAACTTGAAAAACGTTACCTCGATCAATAACAAGCCATCCTCCGTGCCTCCATTTTATCGTACGTTTCTCTCGATCGCGCACAGAACACCTGTATATATTATAATTAAACAATAATCCTAAAAATCCATCCTCCACTCTCCTCTCTCTCTCTCTCTCTCTCTCTGTCTAACAATTTTGAGAAAGATCCTCTTTCCTCGTTTCGATGATTTTCCTCTTCATCTCGCCCAAGTTTCTCGCGAAACGAAAACGTTTGGGCGAGCGTCGATAATTTTACAGAGGCGGAATTTTCGATCGTGCCCCAGAGCGTGCGTCATTTGCGCGGCGATTAAAAGCCTGGGATCATAACCCTCCCCCTCGGTCGGCCATAACGTTCGACTTTCAATGGAACGCCGCCTCTATCCTCCTTTGGACCGTGTGTCGCTGCTTGCCACGGGTAAACAGGCCCCCTCCTTCTTTTTTATTTTTTATTCCATCTAGACGGAGTCTTCCTTCCTTTTTCGAAAATATTTCGGTGCCTCGAATTTTCACAATCGGGTGGAGAGTCGAGGCTCGCTTTCCGTGGTGAGAAATTGAATCGTTTGTTCGTGCGATCCTTTCTCTTCTTGATCCCGGCACAGTCGAAACGAGAAAAAAAAAATTTTAAACTGAAATCAAATCATAATATTAGAAAATAGTGTGCTAATTATTCTATAAATTATAAAAAGTATGCAAGGTATATTAAAACTTCGTCATTATATATTCGTCAACATTTTATTCTTTTTTCTTGAGGAAGAAGCGGAAGACTTATTATTAGGAAAGGTTTACAAAAATATACTTTGAAAAGCGACTCGAATAGCGATCGAAGAATGAAACTTTTATCGTGTTTTGTTTACTTAGGGCAAAAACAGGATAAAAAAATAGAAGCATGCCGATCGACGAAGTATTATGCGATAAGAAAAATAAAATGAAAATTGTATTTAATCTAATTTTATTTTACTAATATATAAGCCACACAGCCGTTACTTGATATTAGCAAAAATTAACACGTTGTTTATATAATACCACACCCGCCTCTGGCTATATAATTTTAGCATGTGGTGTATAAACCGCACTCACAATTAAAGGGTTAACGTGTTTGCCGAAAACGGTCGTTCGAAAGGGTCCACGTACGTCGAATCGTTCTCGATCGATTTAGGGGGAGGCGAATGTTAATTTTCTTAATGTTTCGATGAATCATTTATCGTGGAATGGAACGAAGATTGATTCCTCGACTCGAAACAAATTTAATTGATTCGCTTTCATCAATAATCCAAAAATCGAAAATCGAGAGCTTAAGAAATTCTCGAATCGGTCGCGCGCAAGTACGAAGTGGCTCGTCGTGGGGGAGGCAGTGTTAAATCGGGCAGTTTCGAACTGTTACACGTCCTGTCAACACGCAAACACGGAACTGGCCACAAATTTACAACAACGTAGACCAAAGTAGAGCAAAGGTAGCGCGAAGCTTACTTTATAATTAATTTCACGACCCCCTCTTTCGTCGCGATAAAATCAAAATTCAAACTCGACGAATTCCCTCGAAAGAATAAAAAGTAGAAGGCAAATTTTTACCTCCCTCAATTTTCCATCGTTATCCATCTTATGATCGCCGTTTCGGTAAATCGAATTCGCTTATATCAAACCACCGCCTGATAATCGAGCGGCCGGACAATCAACCTCTTTCTTCCTTCCTTTCCTTTCCTTTCCTCTCTCCTCTTTGATTAACCACACCACACTGATAAACCCTGAATTATGCAAACGTTATCGCACCCTCGATACCCTTTGAATCAACCGTGGAAACGAGAGAGAGAGAGAGAGAGAGAGAGAGAGAGAGAGAGAGAGAGA